AATATATATATATATATATATATATATATATATATATATATATATATATATATATATATATATACATATCGTCATTTCTCTAATTTTTCGATTATATTTCCTCGATAGCACGATAGATGCGTTCGCTAATTCCTGAAAACGCTATGTTAAATTCCTGGGCGGTTCCGTTAAAAATTACGGTGATTTCCGCGTAAATATACCGTAGATGCCGTTTGAACGTGATCGACGTGGAAGATAATAAAGAAGAATGTAACGTAAAAAAACGCTCAGTTAAAATACGGCGTGCTCTGCGATAAATTCATTCGACCACGCTCGCCGGCGGTGTCGCATCGCGGGTCGTACGAATTTCCACGGGAAATTCATCGCCGCGATTGTAACGTGCTCACAGTTCGCGCACAGTGCCGTGGATAAAAATGATAAAATGTATTCGCGTGTAGAATAATGAATTTTTACGCACGCGCTTCTTTGTCTCGTGAATCGTCTGAGCAAGGTCGCCTGTGTGATCGAGGTCGCATAAATCAAATGCGAACGAATTAGGAGTATCAGGTGTCCTCGTGCGACCTACGTGTCGAACGTAGGCGATCGGTTATGTAATGATGTTAATGGTGTTAACCCACATTGTTTTAAGAGAATAGGCACGCGTTACAGTTTAGAAATATATATACATGGAAGTATAGCCAAGACATTATTTATCTTGTGCACAGAACAATAATTTGTATATATTATTTACAACTGTTATCGCTGTACTTACACGCTCTATCTAAATTGTCTGTTTCTTTTTACAACCTGTGTATCACTATGGAGTAATATTGAATGAAAGAAACGGTTGGTAGCTGTCTTTGTATCGTCGTAACTATTGTGTCTCGATTCTGTATAAATTTACTATAATACACACATGCCAAGTGGATAAACCGTTTTTACGACGCTGTTTTTCTTACATATTTGTTTGTACTTTTTTTTCATGACCTACTCGCATGACCTATGACGCAAGTATACTTATTCGTAAAACGGTGATTAAGTTATACAAAAAAGACGTATGGCAATTATAGCGACAATTTAGTTAAACGTTCCACGTGTGGATCTTGCACGCGAGGTTTTTCCAAATCGAATTGAATAAAATTCCGCATTCGGGATAAACGCGGGATCTTCGACGATCCGCGCTGGATCGCCGCTACTCTTTACGCACGGATGCTCAATGTCGATTTAGTCCAGCGATACCGATTCTGACCGACCTCGTCTTTGATTCGTCTGAAACGGCAAACAGTTATGCGACCAGCCGACCGGTCGGCTACCGAGGCCGCGACGTTTAATAATGCGCGAATTACGGTAGATTTAGCGCGCGATAGCATCCGGCAAAGTCGTTAACGCATCTGCATCTCGCGTATTATATCTGACGTTCCAAAAATCGGCGGACCTCCTTTTACCCCGACCCCGGAATTCAGCAAAGCTACAATCCAAATCGACAATGAATTTATTTGAATTTCACGAAATTCGGATTTATGATTGACTTGCGATTCTTTCAATTAATTTTTTTTTTAAATTAATGCAAAAGAAAAATAAAGTTTATAATTTTGTACAAAAAATTATTTCTTTGACCTAGTCCAGTTATTTGTTTACATTTGAACTCTGAAATATTAATCAATATCTAGAAAGTCTAATTTCATATCGAAAGATATATCTTGACTTAAGTAAAGTAAATAAGTTGAAGATAAAAAATTAGAATTCTTGTAATTTATTAAATGTCAGATAAATATAATGTTAGGTAAGTGAGAGAAGCAGCGGTTATTATAATATAATAATATAATTATATTATATTATTATATTATATATTATTATATTATATATTATATATTATATATTATATATATTATTGTATTATATATTATATAATTATATTATATTATTATATAATTCTATAATTATAATTCTTTGAAAGTGCATTTCTCTACAGTGCATACATATTAACGATGGGCATGTATATTTCGCGAACCGCGCACTGATAAGCGAGCTACCGATATTTATGTCACGAGGAACGTTACAATTTCCTGTTGAACGAGAAACACCGATCGTAACTTCTGGTTGACCGAGTTAGCTCTTTGTATATTCTATTTACCTTATGAATACATTTTCTTACGAGGTGTTATGTCGTTACTCACACGCCTGAATGAAACGCCGTGCCAGAATTATCAACGAACAGCCGAATCGGCTGAAATCTTTGTGCGTAAAAGAAAAGAAATTATCCTTTACAACAAACATAAAATATATATCCCTAAGCCATCCATTTAATCGTAATCGAAGAATTGGAAAAAAAAACCTATTACAGTCCGTCATGTTTTTGTGTAAGGTAAAAATGAAGATAATGAAATCATCTGGTTATGTATTGTTTTTTTTTTTGTAAACGATAGAAATGACGTTCTCGTAGCGTGAACACAATGAGAGCTCTGATATGTATTACGTAAGCAAAAATCCGCGTAACCGACGATTCTCGTTCGTTCGGTGATGTTATAGCGACGTTACGATTCCGGCATTGCACAAAATTCATCGTAACAGGAAACGAGTAGCCAAGGCTAACGGAATGCGTAGGGGGACGCGCCTTTCGAATTTTACGTTGATCGATTTTGCTCGAACGACAGTTACGGATAACCCATCGTTATCTTCGAGTTGCGCTTATCGCGTTAACGAGACGGCTTATTAAGTAGAGTGGAACGGAATTACGGTAACGCCTAGTCCGCCGTTGCATCCAAGATAAAGGCCTAACCACTTAAGCCCCATGGGGGCTATCTCTTTTTCTTCTTTTCCTCCTCTTTTCGTCTATTGTAATGCTTAATTATCAATATTCTTCGGAATAGCAAGCACGATTATTTCCATCCGATTAAAAACTTTCGTAATTGAGGATGCGACTGCGGAAAAAAAGAGATCTATTTTTTCCTCCTCTTCGTAACCGATAATTATTTTGAAGTAAATCACTCGAACTAAATCATCAGGTCTCGTCGAAAATCGTATCCTCGATTAGCTTTCTTTTTCAGCGAATTGCTATTCGACGGAAAGCTTTTCTCTCGCGGAAAGTCAGTCGATGCATCGTACATTTCCTTGAAAGTCGGCTTTTGAGTAAGATGATAAGGCACGACTTAGATTATTGAGTGCCATATTCGCTCGGTGATGCGAATCATTCACGCTTATTGAAATTTTCACGTCACGATAATATTTGAATATTAATCTAAGCATAACTGAAAAAATTTCGTTGTTACATCTCAAGATATTATTCCACGTGTATGTGCATATATGCATATTTATACATTTAGATAATTATTCTTATATAATTAGATAATTATTTCATATAATTATTAACTTGATTGACACTTGGCAGCTATTAAAATACATCTGACTTTTGCGTTCTCAGTGCGAAAGTAAAAGAACCAATCACAGTATCGCGGGAAGGAAGCTTCAATAGCAAGCGGGTAACTTTTCTTAGGAGGATTCTTCATTTTTTTCGAGTAAAAATAAAAAAAAAAGGAAAAGAAATAGAAAAAGGGAAAAAATGGTCGGCCACTAAGAAATCATATCCTTTCGAGAACAATCTTAATTTCGATGATACGATCGCGATCATGCTAAAGTGGGTGCATTACTGCCCGTTGCCGAGGGATCGCGCGATCGCTTCCTCGGAGGCGACGATGATCATTCCAAGTGAGACAACGAGGGATGAGAAGGGCGAAAAAAAGGCGATCGACAGAAGAATAGACGGCGTGGGCACGGTGCGAAGTGCGCGAAATGCGAAAACCGCCACGCCCGACGCGATCATGAGGAGATGCTTCCGGTTTGGGGTAAGGAACAAAGGAAGTCAAACTTGACAGTCGGTTGCACACGGCGATCTTAAAGTCCCGGCTTCTTCCGATTTGCGTGTGATTTGCGATTGCGTGATAACTGCGAAACCTGTTTGCTTCCTTTTTTTTTTTTTTTCTTCATACTTTGATACTTCTCAGCGTATAATTACACTTATCAGCGTTTCTTCGAATTCACGGCTATTGTCTTCATTAGAACAAAGGAACTGTCGATCAATAATTCGTACATAGACAGTTTTGCATTTGTCTGAACGCATGAAACACGATAGCTTCTAGTAGTTCGATCACAGTTAATTTAATAGGAATCATAATATGTAATGATTTTGCTTAATTTTTATGATATATTTGCATTCACTTTGCTTTAAGACTTTAATACCAGAGAATATCAAATAAATATCTTAATTATTATTATAGTGCTATATAGCCACAGATATAATTCAATAAATATAATAACTTAATAAATTATATCCGATAATATCGAATTTTTTCCAAGACATAAAAAATTAAGACATTATTAATTAAAATTAAAACTATTCAAGATAATAAAAACAAATTTTTGATAAGTATTATCGAAAAGAAAATTTCTCGAGGGGATCGGATGGAATTTGCATTTGTATTTTGAAGCAATCGATATAAATAACAAAGAAAATCGTTTTATCATCTTGTCTTTCCATTCGTATTATATCAATGATCCGAAAAAGGGTAGATAATCGCCGACCAGAGTTGATCAACATGGTTAGCGGAACTGGTCTTTATCGTTGTGGCAATCCTTACGGATTATATGATTACGAGCCATACATGATGCATCGGAGGCATCGCTAACTATGCATTTCATGGTTCGCAGGGTTCGGATCCGAGGGTAGCGACCTGCAGAGGAAAGCTGCAGAACAAGCGAAGTAAGCTCAACCAAGAGATCAACAAGGAGCTGCGGCTACGAGCGGGCGCTGAAAATCTCTTTAAGTAAGCGTTCACACATCGCTAATTACTTTCATAAATCGTCAACAAATTTATATTGAAATTTTGCATTTCTGGTGCCATTGTTCTAACATATTATCTGCCTAGAAACGTAACCTTAAATCCATTACTTTTATTTTGCAATTTGTATGACTTATTTACAAAAATCATTACTGTAAAAATTGAAACTCCTAAATCACGGCCGAGAATAAAAATGTAATATATATCAAAATCGTGTTATATAACTAAGAAAATATAATTTGTAAGAAATATATTTGTGCATTTATGTTAATTTTTATTAATCATGTTACAGGGCGACAACCAACAGAAAATTGAAGGAGACCGTCGCCTTGGAGCTAAGTTTCGTCAACTCGAACTTGCAGCTATTGAAAGAACAACTCGCCGAGTTGAACAGTTCGGTGGAGCTGTATCAGAATGTCGACGGGTAAATTCGGCAGAAAAATTATGAGTTTTACTGATATATATAGTGAACACGTATTGTATTACATGTATGATATTATATTACATGATTAAATGATATTTCTTTTCAGTGACGAGCCCGTTATGCCGATGATACCATTGGGACTCAAAGAGACCAAAGACATTGATTTTCGAGATCCGTTTAAGGTAAATCCCGAATTAACATAATTTGCGAAATTATCATTATATTTACAATCATAACAATCTTTTTATTCCTTGCTTTGTCCATTTATTCAAGAGGCGGTACATCCGGATTATCTTCAAAATTTTCCTTCTTTTCCCTCTGGATTTGTTTAGTGGCATTTTTAGTTATTTTCAAAAAATCGTAAATATCCGATGGTGGGCCAATCTCGAGAAAAGCTCGTCGAGAAGTAACCGGAGGCCGAATTGTAATCTTTGTTTTGTGTTCGACGGATTTCTTTTTTTTCGTTGATTCATCCTTCTTCACGATTGTTGTGCACGGAGTCAAGCGGGCCATAGTGACTACTAAACTTCCGGTAGTCGTATTCCGTTGAACGTTACTTCTCTCAATCGATACCTCACAAGGCAGAGTCAACTGCAGAATCTTCCCTTTTATGATGACTCGCACGTAAGTCGGGTTTACGTCGACGTCGATGTAAGAAGTGTCCAAATGTCTATGAATCGGAAAAAAAAATAGTAAGATAAACGAATGTTTAATAAATTTTAATAAATCTTTAAAATTCAATCAAAAATGACTGACAAAAATTTCAATCGAAAATGATGCTGTTTGTTGAACAATGAATATGTAAGAAATCGATTATTTATTTTTAAAAAGCGTTGATGTTTTTCTAAAATAAGTTTTTGCAGTAAATATTTCTTCATTTATAATTATTTACTATTTTAATACACCATGTAGCTTAATATGATTGTGTTAATTAATTATAAATTACCTATAAACGGCAACTTCGAGGACAACAAAATTGGGATCGTCTTCATCGTTTAATCTAAATGATACCTTTGCCTGATTTATATTATATGCTCTTCCGTCCGGAGCGAATAGCTTCAGCATACGTTTTGGATGATCGCTCTTATCTGAACTGCGATTTTTCTTTTCTTGCTTCTTTGCAAATCGCTCGGCAATAGCGATTCTATCTTCTGGCGTATGATAACTAGGCTGTTTCCAGAAACATTCGTCCTCTGACTCATCATCTTGCTCTGTGTTCACATTCTCGTTTCGTTTATTCTTTGTATTTTCGATCTGTTCCTCTGTCATATTCTGAAAGAAATATTACGCGTTTTTATTTGCGTTTTTCATGGATAAATGAATCTGCGACGAGACCTCTTACGTAGACGATTTGAAAAATGCAAATATACAAATGTAAATTTAATAACTAAAAGCAATATCTCAACCTTATTTGTACATTAAAATTTTTTTCAATTTAAAATAAATGATTTCAAATGCTTTACATAAATTTACATTGATTCATGACTTTCAAAAAGTATTAGAAATATACTTAACAGTATTTAGATAAATTAATGACTTATTAAATAATCAATTTATCATGCTTTGCAAAATATTTACGAATTATCACAAATTATATCACCGATACAATACTACCATTCAGATTGCATTGTTAAAACTTCACCGTCTGATTTGTTGACCCTGAGGTTTTATGTGCGGCATTGCGACGTTGAGTTCTAGTCTTCTCGTAATGTTGATAGCTCTCGATAACATCATCTCGCGCTCGCGAGTAGATCTGCAATGCTTTGATACGCTCTGATCTTTCAATCGTTTGCATGTCGAGCTCTTGTAATTGAGGTAAAGTCGCCACGACGTATTGCCTATAGTACTCGTAATCCGTACATGGATTTCCCATTAGAATTAGCTGCTCTAGATGTTCGTTGCATCTATGCGGAACATGAAATGTGCAATTGAAAAAGATAATTCTATCATATTAATTCTATTAAATTGTAATTTTATTACAATTGAATTAAATATAATGGTATTTAATCATACTTGATCAAAATTTGATTTTGATAGTCAATTCTTAATCAAATACAATAGTTTTTTTATCGTCATTTTTAATATAATTGATTTAATCTTAAGCAAAGTAAAATAATAAAAATATATATGAGAATATATATATAATATATATATATATATAATTGTGCACATTTATGTAATATAATAATAATATAACTTAAGAAGAACGGTACCTGAGACTTTTTATACTTTGCAAATTTCCAATAAAATTGATGGTGAGGTCTAACTTCTTTAAGCTCTCTAAACCCTCCAGGTTCTCAATAACTTCGATGTTATTGAGAGCCAAGTTCAAGTATTCTAGCCTCTTCAGCATACTCAGGTTCTCTATCTTCGATATGAGGTTGTGCTGCAACAAGAGGATCTTGAGATTCCTGCAGTGTCTGTCTATCAGCTGGATTTTATCGATATTCTCCTGGTGCAGAGCTATCTCTTCCAACGTCGATATTTCGCCCTCGTTGTGTTCCGAGCGTTTCCGTATTAATTCGAGAGTGATTTTTACCATTTTCTTTTTTGCGTCAATTTATTATTAACTATAGCAAGAATCACGAAAGAAATTCGTAAATGTCGTAAAAAGGAACGCGCGAACATGCATTAACCAAGAAGCTCTCGTAGTTGCTATGAAGATATCGATTTAACATTCTCAGTCACGTTTTACGATTCCACGTGTTACGTGCACGTGTTATGAATTGTCAATGTCGGCCCGCATGAACGATCCTTTATTCTCTTGTAGGACTTCATTTTGGAACACTATAGCGAGGATGGCGAAAACTACGAAGAAGCTATAGCTGATTTGATGGAAACCAGACAAGTATGCAAATAATGTATAAAAATAAAATAACATGTTTTTTCTCATAATAATTTGCATCAAATATAGAAAAAAAAGAAATACTTATTTCTCTTATTTATAATATACATATTCTTATACATATACATTCATATACATGTATACATATTCTTTTTTGGAGAATAAATTGTCTGATTTATTTTTGGAATCTATATATTATAATGTTCCGATATTTATTTCAAAGCTTAAATAAAACTTAAATTAATGAATCTAAAAAAACATATTTTACATTATATATTTTATTATTTCAAATACGCAGGCGACGAGGACACCGACCAGAGATTCAGCGGGCATCGCGTTACTCTTGCGTTATTACAATCAGCTCTATTTCATAGAGAGGCGTTTCTTTCCTCCTGATAGAAGCCTCGGCATCTACTTCGAGTGGTTCGATTCGTTAACGGGAGTGCCGAGTTGTCAGCGAACAGTTGCCTTCGAGAAGGCATCTATTCTCTTCAATGCCGGTGCACTCTACACACAGTTAGCCGCCAAACAGGATCGTTTAACTACTCGAGGACTCGATCAAGCGATAGACGCTTTTCTCAGAGCGGCCGGCACTTTCCGATACATCCACGAGAACTTCACAAATGCACCGAGTATGGATCTAGGCCCAGACATGCTGGAGATGCTAGTGCAATTGATGCTTGTAAGTTCTGGCTTTTGTTTCGTAATAATTTACTTGTTCTAAATATTTAGATAAAAAATTATTTTATTTTGCAATTAATAATTCTTAAAACATGTATCACACATTTACTATGGAGAATTAATTTATTTCATGCTTTGCACAGGCTCAGGCAAGAGAATGTCTCTTCGAAAAGCTAGAGCTTCAATCAAGAGACGGTAGAAACATCGATGTTTGCTTAGATCTTGCTCAAGAAGCAGCTCAGGTAAAAATACCTTTTTCATGATTTCTCTATCTTCTGATTATCGTTGTGATAAATAAGTGAATCATCAAGATGATTAATCCAGGTTGCGGCGATATACAATGACGTCCACGGATTGATATCGCGCGAACCGGTTCGTGACTACGTCCCGGAGACGTGGATCTCGTTGATACTGGTGAAGCGCGAACATCACCTTGCCCTTGCTCACAAACACATCGCGGTCGGTCTGCTGGACAGACCGATCACTGAATTTCGCGTGGAAACGAGGCTCACGTTGGAGCACATCCAAAAGAGCGATGGAAAAACTCAATTAGACGCGACCGTTCCCAGAGACGATAACGAAAGAAAATTATTGGGTACATGAAATTTACATGAAACACTGAATATAATAATTACATTTTTTTAATACCAAATATTACCGTTACGTCTCAACTATCGTTTTTTATTTATTCTGATTTGTAAGGAACTTATATCACTATTAGAATCTATTATTATTATAGGCAAGGCACATCTTAGAGAAGCTCTCGTTCTACATGACGAGAGTCAACGACTTCAAAGAATGTGCCGCGATCTAAAGGGTAAACAAGCGCTGGCGAGGGTTTTGAAGAAAACGCAAGAAACGACACTCGACAGCTATAATAGATTTGGTAATGAGGATGATTTTCGAGAACTTTTGGATCCACCGGATATTATTGGTATGATATTTTATTGAAAAAAAAAATAAAATGACATATTCATCAAAATACATTAATACGTTAAAAAATAATTAGTTAACAAATAATTAAATAACAAATAATTAATTAACTTTTCAGTAAAAATAAATCATAATATTAAAATACAAATTTTTTTATTTTCTTTTCTCTTTACAAATATAGCCTCCACGAAATTTCAACTTAGCATCACTCATCCGGACTTCGGACAGCACGGAGTGGATGATCTTTTTAAATCATTGGGACCTGTAGCGATATTTTCAGCCAAACGACACTGGACTGCGCCACGATTGGTACAGCTTCAAAGAGGTCCTGACGGCGAAGGTTTCGGATTTAGCGTGCGTGGTGATGCTCCGGTGATAATAGCCGCCGTCGATCATAATTCATTAGCTGATGTAAGATAATTTATTAACGTTTATCTGCTTTAATGTATTTAAAATTACTTTTATTAATTTCTCTTCTTTTCTAATAATATGTAATATGCATATGACGATGATTAATGATTAGAGAACATGCTTTCATTTCAGGTGGGCGGGATGAAGGAAGGCGACTTCATAGTTGGGATTGGCGACAAAGACGTCAAGTGGGCGTCTCACGAGCAAGTCGTGCGGATGATAAAACAATGCGGTGACTTTATAAATTTGAAATTAGTCACTCCAATGGACAGGAATTATTTAAAGGTGAACGATAAAATCTGTATAACTTATATTAATATTACTTTAATAAAAAATATATAAAGAGTAGTATGTTAATTAATATGATAAAACTACTTTGAAGAATATTTATAGCTATACTATTAGAGATTAAATAATTGATCGGTTTTTATTCTTATATTATCTTTTTTCTGGATAAAAAACTGACAATTGTAAAAAAATTTCTTTCCTTCCGACGAATGATCTAGTCAATGTGAAAGTACGACGGTAGAAACTAATTATTTTAGAAACCAGGAAAACCCAACAATCACCACGATAAGGGCAGCGTCTCAGCGAGCAGCTCTTCTGGAGTGTCTTCCGGTCAGCCGAGCCCAGCAGGATCCGTCACTACGGCGCACGTAGTGAGAAGGCTTCCGTGGAATCCGTTCAAAAAGTCCGGCACTCAACGCGAGAACCGAGATTTAACTTTCGACAACGTTATTCTCAGATGATTATTGGAGTCCAGGAATTATCATACGAGCTTAAAGCACATCACGATGAATGGATCGGCTTATGGAATAAGACTCGCGAAAATCGATTATTGATCGCCAGAATTGAATGTTATTTGATATAATAATTTGCCGCGCATGTTTTATATCAATATTGTTATGTATCAAACGCGATGAATATAGTTTTGTAAATATATGGATAACATAATTTGCGATTAATTCGTTAAGAGCGGTTAACGATTAAAGCCTTTGCCGCTGAATGTCGGACACAATCAAAATTTTCCTTCGCTACTAAGGTTCTATTTAGGCAGTTCATTAATATCCTTATTAGACAAATTATATTCAAATAATTTGCAATTATTTATATTTTTGATAAAATTACGATAAAATTGCAATAATTAATATTAGAAATTCTTTGCCGACATTCTTACAGTGCCAACGCAGGCGTATAGTGTAAGCGTTCAAAAAAATCGTCCAACACCGCGTATTTCGAAATGGAAATACGTTTTTTTGTACGACTGATTTAAATTACCTACGATTATTTTTTGTCATGCCGTTTATGTAAATTCGTTTATAACGGTAACTGGATTAACGAAAAGGTAAACGAATTGACGAAAGAAATAATCGTATAGCAACATGAGACGTAACGAGCTATACGATCGTCGTGCTTTGTACTTAAGCTTTCATTAATTGTTAAGCGAATTAATATAAATCGGATCTTAACACGAACGTATTCGCGCATCTGTACATTTATACATAGATGTAGCATCGGTAGAGGCGTGTATACAGCTTTTTATTTATATATATATATGTATGTTAGAAATTATATCGCATTCCATCCAAGAATGAGATTTTTATTTTTACTTTCCCGAACATCTGAGAATTTCTCTTAATATCATATATAGTCGCAATTACATACCTTTACTATATTAATGTGAATCGTCGTGAATCAAGAATCTTTGCGAAAGCGGTATGTTGTGTGAAGCCATAATAACTGTCGCGCGAAATTTCTACTTGTAGCAATCGAAGAACGTGTAAAAATACAATTTTTCATTGTTAATAAAATAATTTCAGCAACTTGCTTGTCTTAAACGCCTATTAGAATTGTTCTTTATGATTCGCAGATGCAAGACTTAATTTTTCAAGACCAAAGCGTTTCATCATTTCACCTTTCCAATCATTACAGTGACAATATAAATATTAAATTGCTAATCGATATTAGTTTTCATTTTGCTAATATGCTATTGCTATAAACTATTTCGCTGAGGTCGTTGCATCTCCATTTCAATGAACGACAAGCTTTTAGGATCGTCGGAGAAAGTGCTGTAGCTGAAGCGTTCCTTGAAACGTGTTCTTAGCCGCTTAGGCGACATGAAACTTTCGATGCTCGAACTTGTACGAAGGCCACGAAGGTTTAACTTGTATCAGAAACTTGTCTCGAAACTCAAAATTCTTATCTAGTAATACTTCGCATTTGCATACACGTGTATGCAAATTCGTGATTTTTTTTATGGCATCTCCATTAAAATAATGAGATGTTTTAAAATCAAATTACTTTTTATAATGTTAATTTTTTTGAAGTTCGCTTTACAATTTTTAACGAACTAATTCTCATGAAAAGACTGATGAAAATTTCAGCTTTGTCAATGTCATCTAAAAATATATATCGCGTGCTACGAATTTTCTCTTTTTACCCTATTTTTCGCACGATATATTCGCACAATAAATTATATCCCGTGCCACTGAATTGATGAGCACGCTTTGATTTAAGAGTGAGCATTATTTAAGCATCTACATATAATTTCAAAGTTTCGTATTAGTTACGGTCATGAAATACTATCCCGTCGGGATTTCTACTTTCTCAGATTTTCATCGAAATGTAGATCGTTCGCGAGATCCACGAAGGATGCAATTTTAAATTTTAAATTTACAAAAAAAAAAAATTAAATTAAAAAAAAATGGTAATAATTTTAAAAAATGATTTAGCACGAGATGCAAAATTCTAATCTAATTGTTCCAAGATCTAATTATTTCAAAGTAAAAAAAAAATATGATTAAAGGACTATATTTAGACTGTTTTCATAATTTCAGCCGTGTACGTAGGATGATAGGAATATCATCAACCGTACCGAGAATAACTTATATAATTCCTGTTGCGAGTCGATACTTGTCAGGATGCTACTTTGTGCAACTTTTATGACGCGCAAACGGCATTATTAACACCGAATGAAACGTTTATCCGACGATTTTCGCTTTAGCAGTAAAAATTACGGGACTCGTTTTAAATCGTAAAATTGGATGACTCACGCTGCGTCGGAACACGTGCTTAACGACATTAATTGCTATCGCGCGATTCTCGCGGTGCGCGCACACACACACACACACACAAAACACACACTCGGCGATTGCGCAAAACAGAAGAAGATACCGGAGGAAGACCAATTTACCAAGGACCTCGACGTCGAAAAAATGCATAGAGGAATAGAAAGGCGTATTCCTCGATATACATAAGCGCGCGCCGTGACTTTCACCGACGCGACGTCAAGAGACGCGTTGTCGTGCCAATGATTACGCAATAATTTAACGTAGCTACGATAAGTAAAGAAAGCATGCGGCACGTCCGGCTTTTAAGCAAGATTAATTTCGCGAATTAATTTCGCGGAATGAAAGAACGGAATGGAAACGTGCGATTGTCCGAAGAGGTCCAATTTGGCTGATGAGTGAAACGCGTTCATCGCTTTCTGGATATCCGTGTTTCCTCATACGCTTCATGTGATACGATGAAAAAGTTAACGAGGCGTCGTGTATGCGGCTAGAATTATAAATCCACTTCTAGATCCAATGTCCAATGTCTAGACTTTAATCTCGGTTTAACATATATTTGTTTAATTTTTCTTATTAGTTCTTATTAATTCTAAGGAAAGAAGAAAGGTAAGTTTATGACCGAGATTAAAACTTAGTCCACATTGGTAGAAATGGACATTAATCTTTATACTAAAAGATTTAGCCGGTGTTCTCATTTTAATTAATATGTTAATCTCTCATATTTGTATATTCAAAAAAAAAAAAAAAAACGCAAACTTAAGCAGATCGTTATCTTTTAGTCGAGGAAATATTTTACATATTATTTACCTGTCTCGTTCATTCTTTTTAATTTTATAAAAAGAAGGCAGAAAAATATCTTTCAAAGCTGTTTTACAGACGTAAATCCGCATGAATCATTAACATTATTGAAAATAAAATTAGCGTTTCTTTTAACGAAATCCACAGAGAATGATTTCGCAAGAAGAGAAACTGGTAGAATTAATACTACACAAAAGTACTTGCTATTGCTAATGCAAGCATAAAAATTAACTTTTTTTTATCATTTTAAAATCGGATCTTTTAAGATTGAAGGACTACAGAAGAGAATCGATCCAGGTCGTTATTTTCTTAATTGTCTTATAAATTTTTAATTCATTTTTTTAAAAACCTTATTCAAACAGCTAAATCTATTTTATTATAAAAATTTAGTATTTAATTTTATTCACTTTTAAGTTAATCTTCTTTACTGTACTGTACTGAAGTCTCGACAAATCATCGGACGGTAATAATTTCGCAATTTTTTCATTTTCTGTGTTTTTTGTGACTTCATTCGGTTAGACGATTCGTTGTTTTTCGTGCAAGCACGATCAATTTCGATAACATCGCTGGACGTTGTTGGAACGAAAAATGACCGTGATACTCATCGAAGCGCTCGATGATCCTCATTCGAAAGAGCGGTGAAAGCAAAATGAAAGATTACAAGAAGAAAGTGAATCTCCCAGCAGTGGCGTTGTGTTGCGAAGGCGTTTCGAGAATGGGTGAGCTTCTTCGGTGCTTTTTGTGCCGAAGAAAGTATCACGTTGGTATGTAATTCTTCAATTTGTACTTTTGCAATTCGAATTGCAAACCAACGAATAATTTATAAACACACAATAAATGTGTAAACATACATCTACAAAAATCCAACAAAAACTGTACTCGGCGTAACAATTAATGTATACCTTTTCTCTTTGCTATCTAAATTGCTTGAAATTTTTACTGTATGTAAATATAAATATACGTATAAATATCAATAAAAGTACAATTTTTGCTATGTAAATTATTTTTTGAAACTTTTATAAAAAAGTAGAATTGTATAAAAGTAGAATTGTATTTTGTGTTATTTGTATTTAGATATATTACATTTTACTAAATTTATCTGTAAATTTATATATATATAATAAATTTTAAATACAAGAATTTATATTTATTATTATATTAATGTTTAACTCTAAATTACAAATATTTAAATTAACATTTTATATTCAACAAATATTTTTAAAATTGTATTCGAATTGTATAAAGATATGTACACAACTTAGTATTACGCAGAATAAATTATTGAAAATCTAACACAATTTATTTATATAATATATAACGAACAACATTCAATTAGCTTTGAAATATTGTTCAAGATTAATAAATGTCATAGATTTTTCTTTAAGAAACAAGAATTCTTTGAACAAGTTCTATGAATTGTATATATTTAATTAAAATTATTTTAAAAAATTGCTTTTATCTAACTCTTTATTGAAAAATTATAAATTAGATTTGAAAATCAAAAATATTCTATGTTACAATTTTAGATCAAAATCTACATCATTATGGAAAAAAATAAAACAAGAACAACGTAGAATTTTAATATTTCAATTGCAGTTTAAAATTTTTATCATTAAAATAATAATGATTAATAACAGATAATTGAAAACAAGTGAAAAAATTTAATGAATATAGGATAATCCAGCTAATTAATTTTTTATCATCGCTCGATCAGACACAAACAGGACAACAAACGTGTTGTTAGACTTACCATTTTCATTGATAAGAACACAATTTTTTGTCCCAGCCGTTACGTTACGTTACGATATTCTCGATAATTTTCAAATTATTCATAAATATACTTGCTTGCGTACTATATTATCTATTTGCATACAGCAATACAATACGATATGCCTGGTATATTTCCTACAGGTATATTTCCTGGTATATTTCCTACAGGTATTCTCATTCGCGAGAGAGACGGAGAGCGTCGCCGAGATGTAGGTGAAGGTCCTGAGACCCCGTCCACGTCGGAGAGCCAGCACCACCACGACGATCTCTACTTAAATTGACCAGTCGGCCGAGCAAGCGAGTTACTTTGGTGAACACCGTCCGACAGTCCACGTCCATCTTTCGTTACGAACTTGATATTTCTGCGTTGGTATAATTCGGCACCTCTTTCGGAACGTTTCGCGTTCTCCAAATCGTATTATCGAGTGAAAAAGGAAATAGTACACCGCTCGACCGGAAGGAGAAAATCTCAATTGGCTAGATGATTCTACCCTGAAGAGAAGAGGCTAAGCTAAGATCTTGGAGCTATCTGAAGAAAAGAAGAAGACAGGATAGAAATATAGAAAGAGGTCATCGCGAGAAGAAGAGACTAAAAGCAGTAAATTAAATATTTAATTAAACGTTAATTATTAGTTCGTTAATAAGTGGATAGCATCTTAATTAAGAAGAATTTCTCGTAATGTAAGTTATGTGCAGCTCTGAAAACGCGATGGCAAAATTGAGAACGCCATTTTCAGACGTGTGAAAATAACTAAATGAAAAAAATGCTTATTAGAGAACATTTTGCGAGTGTTTGTCTTCCTTGACAAATTAATCAAGATGCAATAATGTACATTTAAGTAGTAAGAATTAAATCTCGCACAGAGATGGAAAGGAAAAACGCTCGAAGGAAGAAAATAAAGAGAAAGCGCGTATATCGAAGAGCAAAAGAAACAAAAAAGTCCCAGATCTCTGGAATTGATCGGTTAATCGAAACGTCGAATTACGACTTACTTCTACGAAGCGCAATTTAAAGTTTCTTCTCGCGAATCGATTAACTCTCATTATATTCGTTTGCAAAGGTGTTCGGCAAGTGTGAGAATGATAAAAGTGGATCAATGTAACCCGTCCATCAAGTTCGCGATAATTTCTTCGCGATACCGCCTGTCTCTTCCAACGACAGTAGAAATACGTTTTTAGCGCGTTTCGTTGCGTAAACAGTAATATCGGCTTGTCGAATGACGAATAATGATAATAATAAGTCCTATAAATTTTTTTCTTGCAATTGTTTCATTATTCAAGTTCACAGTTACAGCATATGCATATGATAAGAATACGCATGCGAATTAGAAAAAACTTGCAAAACAATGTCATTAAATTATTGTCTCTCTCTCTCTCTCTCTCTCTCTCTCTCTCTCTCTCTCTCTCTCTCTCTCTCTCTCTCTCTCTCTCTCTCTCTGTCTGCTTTTTGGATGAAACGATATCGCGCTCACTCGCATTCACGGTATTGCGCTTTGGGTGTCGTGATAGGATAGAAAGTTGGAGCCGAGCGCTCGGCATGAATATAGCACATCGCGAAACGCGCGTGTTCCCGTTGTGCGCGCAACGGTGAGGCCCCTCCGGTTTACTACTTCCTCCCGGTGTCTCACTTTCGTTTCGCTTAAGCACCCCGCGTACCCGCGAGGAATTATAAGCCATTGTCATCGAGCGACGGCTCTCGGATGCGCTCAAGGCCTCCGAAATCCGAGGAGAAGCAAAAAATCGTCCCCGTCTCGCGAGGAGATTAGATTATATCGGAATATCAATTAGTCCAAAGTTAATTAACCACTTATATAATTTGCGATACACGCGATACGAAATACTAGAGGAAAGCGAAAACTTTCTTTTGAACTGTTGTCTAACTTTAAACGTTTTTTTATTTAGCATTTATTAATTAATTATTAATTAAGTCGCTTCTCTCGCAAAATTTCTCTCACTTTGCGTGTGATTAGAAGAGGCGACGGATGATATTATCCGAATGCTAAATATATCTCGGAATCCTAGTTATTTTCGCCACGTTAATATAATTCTCTATTCGAGTACGAACAGTAATGTGTTCAACAGTAATACGTTCTACCTGATGCTTTCTCTTTACGCTCCATATCATATTAACGGCTGTTGGCAAACCGGAATAATTTGACCATGTGATCCCTATTTTCTCATCTCTTACTGGTTTTTTTTTTATTTTTAACAGTAACAAGTTTTCATTTTATCGTTAACTCAATATTTAAAAAAAAAACCTATTCCCCATAATAATAAAGACATTTTCAATTTGACAAAAAAATCTAATAATTTATTTAGCTAATTTAAATAATATATTTTCACAAATTAAAATATGATTTTCTCGAGACATAGAAAAAAATCAAGATTTAAGATTCTAAGATAAGATATTAATCTCGAATTACTTTGATTACTAGATTACGATGGTCACGGAAGGACAGGAGAAGAAATATGACGAGTACAAAAGCACCCTGGATGCGGACTCCTTGGAAACGGCCAGGCTGGAACTTCGCGAGGACGACAGCACGAGGGAACAGGCGCTGGAGCAGTTTCGCCATTGGATCGAGAAACATCCCACGATCAAAAGATGCAGAACCGACTCGCTGTTCCTGCTGAGGTTTCTCAGGACGAAAAAGTTCAGTCTGCCGATGGCGCAAGAGATGTTGGAACGCTATCTCACCATCAGACAACTCTATCCTGACTGGTTCCAGAATCTCGATATCGACGACCCGGAAATCAACGCCATCATCGACAGTGGCTACTTGGTACCGATGTTAAAGCGGGATAAGCATGGTCGAAAAGTAATATTGTCGTGCGCAGGTAACGATCCCAGTAAGAATACACAAAAGTCCGAAAACTAATTTCAGAAGACTAATTTAGAGTAATTTAAACGGAAATCGATAGATTAAATTGTTTCTTACGCATACTAATTGAAATTAAATAATTCTTTTATTTCTTTTTAAAAGTCTTCAGATAGCATTTAGTATTCACATGTCGACGTGAGCGTAATAAAATTATTTTCGTTTTTTAATCGATATTTAATTTATTATTCATCCATTATCAATTTCATTATTATTCATTATCAATTATTAAAATTCAGCAATCTCTAAATCCATGATTTTATGTGCAATATATTATTATTAAGCTTATACATCTCTGATAGTATTACATTTGTTATATGAATGAACAAAAAACAATTTTTGTTTCCATTTTTTAAAAATCATATTTGTCTCATTTGTAAAAAAAATGATAATATAACTATTTGTAAAAAAAATGATAATATAATTATTTCTAGTTACAAAATCATTTGTAAAATTAGAGGAAAAAGATACAAATATTATTTTTCTTATTTCAAGCATAAATGAATGAAAGAAGATATTCATTTTACTACCTAATGCATTTCTGTTCATATTTTTTGTATACATTTATTTTGATTTTATTTCTTTTAGTATGATTCAAAATAATCTATAAGAAATATGTTAAAATTACGTAAAATAATTTTAATAAAATATCTTTTCTTAAAAAACATCTTTTCCATAACTTGAATATGTATTAGTACTCTATATGAAATCTGATTTTCTAATGAGACATTAATATTCAATGTTTCATTAGAGACATAGTATTAGAGATTAGAGACATGATTTTTTTAAAATCTTTATATCAGATTCTTTACATGATATCTCTTTGTGTTGTTCAGATCGGTGTGAATCGAATATCCCAAGTAGACAAAAAAATCATATGAAGATCAAGATAATCTTAAAGTCAAAACGATATCAAAATCAAGATAATATTATTTTATATTTTCAATGAACAATAATTTGAATTTTTCGTGACCATATCGTAATCTTTTAATGATTTTTGTCAAAAAAAATATGGCTTTGCATATTAAATAATAACAATTAACAGATAATCCATATAAAGCATTCGTATTTTTTTCATTCTTTATAAATTAATTACTAATAATGCAAAAAAATCTTAACCATATTTTTAATTATTTTTAAATAACACTTTTTGTAATTGTGATCAATAGAACATTGTAATATTGACGATCTCATCTGTCATTAATAATATCTGAAACATATATTGCAAATTATTTATTTGAAAAGAATACAAGCCTTTCTAGAATAAATATCATACTCGAAGTGATAAAAAAGCATATTCTCGTCATAATGATTTTTCTTAACAATCTAAGTGTATATATTATTGTGAAATATTTAAAGTCGTATGCTAAGTTCCACAATTGTAATTTCATCAGTTTTTCATGATCAAAACATGAGTGTTTGCGTCATTCTATCGTCATTTTGACGTCATCTTGATTTTTATATGATTTTTTTGTTCTACTTAAACTAATATTGAGATATCTCTCTAATATATTTTACTGCGGATTTCTGAGTAGGGTATTCATTCTATTTCATCTCCTTTGTTTTTAAGGGCGTTTTGACCCCAATAAATTCTCGTCGAGATTAATGGCTCGGATCCACAGTATCGTGGTGGAGACCCTGATGGACGATGAGAAAAGTCAGGTCCACGGTTACACATACATCAACGACGAGGCAGGACTGACCATGAGCCATTTCAGCGCCTGGTCCTTCACGGATATTCGCAATGTACTGAGGTGCATACAGAATAGCACGCCGATGCGTCATAAAGAGACGCACTTCATAAATGTTCCCGGAGCCGTGGCAAAGATCTTTGAATTTGGCACTTCGTTGCTAAACGAAAAGCTGAAATCGCGACTCATGGTAAATATCGCGAATTATTTGCGCTGCGTGTATAAATTTACATGAATAATTTATATAAATCATTTACATAAATTTACATAAATCATCATGTTTGTAACATTGGCAGATGCACAAGGATATACAGCAATTGTTAGAGATGGTGGATCCAAAGATACTGCCGAAGGAATACGGCGGAGAAGTTCCACTTTCAGAAATGATCGGTACAGAGATTCTCCTAGATATAATTTTTCTTAAGAAAGTTTAAATTGTTTCATTTTCTAACGCGCCCACTTCTGTTATTTCAGAGGAATTTAAGAAGGAACTAAAGCAGAAGAAAGATGAACTTAAGGCCCTTGATGATATGTACATCGAAGTATCAGCGAAAGATTATCAGGAGGCTAATGATGAATTTGGTGGAATATGCGGTTCGTTCCGAAAACTAGAAGTCGACTAAAAACAATCTATCTCTATTACGATCTTACGATCCTGTGTTATCAGCACCTCACTTAACAATTATTTCTTTATTATGTGATTACGTCGTATGAATAGTTTTACCAAAAAAAAAAATCCTGTGACTATAGAAATATGTTATTATGAAGCACGAATCGTGAGCATATTAAACGAGTATGCAAACAACTCGATACTTAAACGCAATCGATAATTTTAATCGATTTTGTCTAGTTATTCTTAACTATTTCTCTCTAGATTCTATTTATTATTCTATATATATTATAAACAAAAAAAATGAATTTAATTAATTAATATTAAGTAAAACATCACGATAGAATCAGATCTGTACACGAGATAAGAGAATTTACGTTGATATATTAATACCTCGAAACGATAATATGTGAATAATATCCTTTGTGTTTTGTATAATATATAAGAATTTTTTTTAACAGTTAAGATTCTTTAACGCGTATGAATTAATGTTCGTTCCGCCGGTGGTACCAAGTTACCTATGATTTATAAGTCGTTATCGTTGACTTGATCTTAAGATAAATTGACACGTTTTTAAGCCCGATTTAGACCATCTATAATTCGTATCAGATTTCAGTATAAAAATTTAATATTTCTATTTATACTCTTTTATACCGTTTATTTTGATGCATATATTCTAATTCTTTCAGTTTTTTTCTTAACTCTGACGCGAATTGTAGATTATCTAAAATAGATTTCATCGTTTCTTATTGCCGTTGTAATAGGACGCGTTCCTCTATTTGGGAAACACGCAAACGTGGATTGTTTTAATCGACATATTTTATATATTCTAATTAAAAGCTTTGTTAGATAATTAAAATATGTTATATTTTTATTATATACTCTTATTTACAAATAATGAAACACACAGCGGCTTGTTAAAGATTTTCTTATGAATTCGTATAATATAAGCACATTTAACAGTTGTTGTTTAAATTGTTGTTTAAATATAGTTTTAGTTTATTTTATAGTTATATCCGAATTATATTTTGTGATGTTAATTGAATCCCTATTGCAGTTCGTTCTCTTGTGCGTACTACTTAATATGCAAAATGTGATTATGTAATTCTGGTTGAACTTGCGGTTCTCTAACATGAAGATCATATATAATAAATAATTCGGTAAATAGAAAATAGGTGTTGGTCACATTTTGCGTTGATTATGGTATATTTTATACAATTCATTTAATGTTTATTAACTTGACGAAATAATGTGTGATAGAAATAATAGTTTTATAGTTTCAATTTATACAAACGAATTTATCTAAATAAAAAAATATTTTATCTATGACTACTGAAAAAGGTTTTTTCAAAGAGCTCTGAATATAATTTAACAATGTATTGATCTTTTGTTGCTAAACAAATATTATATATATAATAATGTTAATATTCATATAAGTATATATATATATATATATATATATATATATTATATATATTAAATATATTAATTTAATATTAATTAATAATATTATATATTATTTTTTCTTTCATTGAAGATATATATCTTCTATTATAACACAGAATCGATGGATTACATTTACCTATGA